TCCTATGGTGACCATCATCTCCCTTTACATGGAAAGTCATTTCTGAATGAGGGGGGTAAAGGGTTGGTTTCCTTTTGGAGGTAGAAACATAATAATTGAATTCCGTTTTTTCTCTCCCTGGTTGTATTTGAGCAGTGAAGCTTCAGCTCATGAAACCACATGCGTTAAAATTAAATTTTCTGACTTCTAGGAAATGTTGTGGTTACTTCCCATAGGACAGGAAATTTGATTTTAATCCAGTTTAGTGCTGCTTTGTGCACTGTGTGTGTAAATCTCTTACAACTGCGGAATGTGAGATTAATTTTCTTTTAAATTAATCTTTGAACTGGAGATTAGTACCTTCCTGTATCAAGGTGGCATGTCACATGGATAGAGATTCGAAGTAAACAAACATTATAAACTTAGCTTTGTATTGGGAAGAAGGTGTAACAGGTTTAAGAGATTGAGAGCAGGAAATAGGAGATGTTAACGATTTCTATAGAGATTGAGACCTTTGAAAGATATTTAAAATCCCAGTGACCAACTTAAAGGAACAAGAAGCTTTCAAATTATAGCATGTTTACTGTAATAAACAAAATAGAAGTGTTGTGTTCTAAATATAATCCTCAGTTAGTTCTCTAAACTACAGAAATGATCAGTCTCATTTGTAACACAATTGATAACTCCAACCACATACGTGTACATTATAGTATGCTGCACAATTGAATCTTACTCAGTACTCACAAACTTGTTTGAGATTTTTGAGGAAGTGGAACAGGTGATTGATGAGGGCAGAGCAGTAGATGTTGTCTATATTGACTTTAGTAAGGCCTTCAGCAAGCTAATAGAAAAAGCTGAAGTCATATGGGAACTGCAGTGAACTAGTAAGATGGATACAGAACTGGCTTAGTCATAGAAGATAGGGAGTAGTGGAGGCAGAGTGATTTTCTGATTGGAGATCTGTGACCTGTGATGTTCCACGGGGACTGGTGCTGTGATCCCTGTCTTTTGTAATATATATATATAAATGATTAGGAGGAGAATGTAGGTGGTCTGATGAGTACGTTTGTGATTGACACAAAGATTGGGGAAATTGTGGATAGTGATGAGGATGGCCAAAGGATACTGCAGGATATCGATAGGCTGGAGACTTGGAATTTAATCCAGACAAATGTGAAGTGATGCATTTTGGAAGATCTAATGCAGAAGGGCTGTATACAGTAAATGGCAGAACCCTCAGAAGCATTAACATACAGAGGAATCTAGGTGTACCAGTACACAGTTCCCTGAAAGTGGCAATGCAAGTGGATAAGGTAATTTAGAAGGCATACAGCATGCTTGCCTTCATAGAGTATAAAAATTGAGTCATGTTGGAGCTATATAGAACTTTAGTGAGATCACATTTGGAATATTGTGTACAGTCTTAGTTGCCACACTACCAGAAGGATGTGGAGGCTTTGGAGAGGGCACAGAGATGCCAGGATGTTACTTAGTTTGGAGAGTATTAGCTATGAGTAAAGATTGGATGAACTTGGTTTGTTTTCACTTGGATGTTGGAGAATGAGAAACAACCTGATGGAAGTTTCCAAAATTATGCTAGGCATGGATATTCAGAGTATTTTTCCCAGGGTAGAAATGTCAATTACTAGGGCACATGGGTTTAAGGTAAGAAGGGGAGAGTTTAAAGGAGATGTGAGAGGTACGTTTTTTACACAGAAGATGGTAAGTGCCTGGAATGCACATCCAGAGGAGGTGGTGAAGGCAGATACAGCAGCAATGTTTAAGAGGCATCTTGACTAATGTATGAATTGGTAGGGAATAGAGGGATGCAGAACTTGTAGAGGCAAAATTTTTTTGGTTTAGAAAGGCACTGTGAATTGGCGCAGTCATGGTGAGCTAAAAGGCCCATTCCTGCGTTATACTGTTTCTTGTATGGAATTACAGTCTTGATAGAATAATGGAGAGGAGAGAGGTGATAGGGACAGCTCCCTTCTTTTCACACCACTACTGACCAAAGTTTGCATGTTTTTTAAAAATATTTTAACCCCCAACTGCTATAAGTGTGGGTCAATAATGACAAGCTTCTTGTAAGTTTTAATAGAAGGATAAATGTTCGTTTGTCAACACGCAAACACAGATCACGTGCCAAGAAATGCGCAACTCAGCAAAAGGTTGTGATTACAGAAGTTGCGTACATGTAGGTTTTAAGAGGTCAAGATTCTTTATCACATTTGTTTTACCTCACATGGATTCTTGGAAATGATGCAGGTCAGTTATCCATCTTTTAGTTTACTTGAGAAAAAAATCTTGAGGTTTTAAGAAGATGGATTTGCTGTTGTTTACTGTTCACTGTAAGAGATTTCTATTGTTCCACTCTAGTCAAGGTGTAATATAGAATATTGTAGCAAACTCAAGTCGGGTTTCTCAGGAAAGAGTCAAGGCCAACCTGAATCTCCATCGTGTGGTGTTTCTCAGGACAGGTTTTGTTCCTTTACTTGTTGAGGTGCTTTTCTTCTTGTGCTCAAAAAGTGTTTCATTTTACATCTCATTTTCAGAAGCCTATTTTTCAGACGTGTGATCGTAGCATCTCCTTTCCTTTGTCCTCTCAAATAGCGTGTGGTGGCTAAACCGGTGTCAAACAATAGACATACCGTTCTGATAAAATGGGAAATTCCACATCCATTCTCTGGATTTCAAATTTGGAGTCAAAGAATCTGCAAACAGTATTGTGAAATCAATTTAATCAATTTGAGAAATGTTGCCATAAACTACAGGAAATGTTGTGTATTTTAACAACTTCTTGAAGTTATGTCCATAAAGGGCATTTGCATTTTAACCATTTTATCTGGATGCATCCAGACATAAGATTACTTTAGGGCATCTTAAAGTTACTTGTCTACTGGCAGGAAAGAAAAGGTCACCCAACCTCTTAACTCTATCTTGGTTTCAAGGAATGTGTCCATATCAAGTTTATACTTTAAGTCTATAATATCAGAATGTGACAATAACAAAAAGGCCACAGCTTCTCCTAGCATGCAATGAGTTATATCTCCCACTTTGCCAACTTATAATGTTGATTGAATGTCAAAAAGACTCTTCTGTCCTTTTTCAGAACATTCTAAAATCAGCTACCAGCAATAAGGCCTACTTTGGTGATTTGTTCCCCAAGCTTTATCGAGGCAAATCTTCCAGAGTATTTTAGGTTATCACAGGATGCATCCCTGTAACCAGAAACCATCCCCAATTTTGCCTGGTAGCTTGATGATGACAGTAGCCTTCTCCACTTGGTTGACCTCACTAGTTATAGCCTTTTGCCTTTATGAAACTTCTTTCTCTTCTTCCCACTGCATGTAGAACCTTGCATTTGTAACCGAGGCCAGGAACTGAAAGTACTGCTCTGTTGTAGCCTAAACTAAGCTTGTAAACACAGTGGGATTTGGATCAAGAAATGATTTGACCTGAGATGAGAAAACACTTGGTTGAATTCCCAAGAACTTGTAACATTGGTCACGTAATGACCAGACCCTGGGTGAAGTTCCCCAGTAATTCACCACCTCAGTTGGTTGCAACAAGGTTAATTTAGAAAGGATACCTTCCATTGTGGAACTTTTTACCCAGACCCAAATTTACACATGTTTTGAAAGGAGCCCATTAAACTAGGCTTCCTTAAATTATCAGGAAGAATGAGTTTATTAATTCACACACATGAAGAAATGTTAATGTAACACAACAACAGACTGATTAAAAATTAAAAAAGTGAGTCCAGAAAGATGAAATTTGAACAAAAAGATATATGGATTAGTCTTTGAATTGTTCCCAACGAGTGGATCATTGAACCTAGTAGCTACTGAGTGCAGGTTGCCAGTAGCATTGACACAGATAATTGAACAAGTGGTTTCTGGATTCTTAGTTTTGCATTCTGACACTCAGTGGTTTGATTGAATATCGCCATTTAGATTGCAACAGAGTCCTTCTGTTCACCTGTTTACTTTTGTTTGCCTTGAAGCACTATAAATGAGAGAGGGTCTTCTATTACCTGCAACACAAAGATAACTAAGAGGTAGTCCTTTGACCTTCATAGCATGCAAATGATCGAACCCAGATGGTCCAGCTAAGAACATTCAATCTCATTCGGGCACACCAGTGGCATTTCATCCTATGTCCTTGTGTTTTCAAAGGGAAAAAAATGTTTCTACGGTTTGGACATAATCCACAGAGGGAGCTTGCTGTTAGCCTGGAGTTCAGTAGTCTCGTCTTATCCTTGTAGTCACAAGAGATCTCAGTCCAGTTTGTTTTGACTTGCATCTCCCCAGGAGAGATCAAGTCATTTAACTTAAATCATGTGCTTCTTTGGAAAAGCTGAATTTAGTTCACTGCTTAGAATGACTTTCTGATCAGTGTTTAAAAAAATTACAGATCAAAAAACTAAAAGTCATGTTTCTTTCATTTTTGAATCATGTTCCCAAACAATAAACTACTGCAAAAGTATATTGCTTAATACTGTTGAGCTGACACAGTGTGAAGAAGATATGGATCCTATTTCACTTGTCTCTTAGTCACCTCAAAGTTTTCATCTGGCAAAATAGCAGTGAACGTGTTAATTAGTTGTTTTGGAATAAACGTTAAATACTGAAATGTGAACATTTCTTAATTCAGATATTAATAGTGAATGCAGAAAGTCATATGGCTCCCTATACTTCTTTGTCATTCAATGATACTCTGATTCTCTACACCAACAAGTTGATTTTCTTCCATGATAACCTACCTGTCAAAATGTCTATATCTAAGATTTGTGTGACATACTTTTTCATAAAATGTTATGGAGAGTGCAGAAGAAATCTGCATTGCTGAAACCTATCCCTGCAACGTGTGTCTTTGAATGTGGTTATGATGTTGGAAGGTTCCTATTTGGAGGGACTTATTATGACAGAACTCTGCTTATTCTGTCGAAAGAAAGAAAGTGTTTTTGTTTTGCATTTTTGCTTTCAGGCTTTATATCGGTATTATTATTTTCCATGCAGACCTCCACTGATTTTGGCTCCAGTTCATCAGGTTTTCAACAATATACCCCATTGCCTCAAGGAAGTCGAGATGGCACTGATCACAAAGGTAAGAAAAGCTACAACAAAAATGAGGTAATCATTAAAGGCTTTTGAAAAATGAGATCTAAACAAATGCAGTTAACTTGATACAATAGATCACTATTTATTTAAAATAAAGACAAAATAGTTTTCTTTGCCTCTAAATTATAGGTAATTTTCTCCGTTATTGCCACTCTTTTCCAGCAATGCATTTCTGGCATTGCTACATTTGTAGATGTATTGCTATGTCTAGCTTGGAGTAATCTATACATCAATTCTGTTATTAGTTTTAATTGGCAATGACCCTATATTGTCTATAGCTAATTTGTCATGATTAATTTTCATGCATGCAGTTTCACTGTGAAGAGTATAATGTAGTCATTAACTCTGGAATACTTGACTAATAGTTATATTTTCTGTGCCTTAAAGATGTGTGACTTCCTTTTAAATTGAAATTATTTATCAATTGTAATTGAGATTGTGTAGCATACTTTTCTCTACAATAGTTATGTGAATTATGGATGTTCTGAAGATTTCTACAGTTCTGTCCGTGCCGAAAAATTTTACCAAGTACTGAGGCTGCTCAATGTTGTGTTAGCAATGCCCCAACTAAATGATCAAATCAAAGCAAAGTACTTCTTATGCTAGAAATTTGAAATATAAACAAAATATTAGAAAAACTCAGCAGGTCTGGCAGCAACTGTGGAAAGAGAAAAATAGAGCAAAGTGAAGTTCTGAAGAAATCATGTTGGACTTCTGTCTCCACAGATACTGCCTGACTTGCTTAGTTCTACCAGCGCTTTGTTCTGATTCCAGCTAAGCAACATGTTCTCAGCTTTACAACCTCATTTTTTATAATTAATTTTATATTTAAGAATTGAAATTAAAACTGTTGCATTGTGTATTGTTGACTCATCAAACAATAACTGTAGGTCTACTAATTTCAGATACTGCCAGTGCATATCAAAGTCTAGTCCTGGGTACATAGTAATAACTGGGGAAATTTTGAGTTCTAATAAATATACTGGCATTGTGGAAGTCAACTTAATTCAAATATTATTTTCTTTTGTTAGGTTTGATTTTATAAAGGCAAAATTCAAATAGTACGTGTCTAATTAAAAGCAAGGTCACTAAATGCCTTCCCATTAGTCTTTCAAACCTATTGACTTTCTGGAATTATGTAATCCTGTGTAAAAACAAAAAATGCATGTATATTTAGTTTCTAGGCAGCCTCTTTCTGTTGTCTCAAAAACATTGCCCCTCTCCATAGAAAGCTCTGCCGTTTGACTGAATTTTGGCAAATCCAACTGATGAGTTAGACAGCTCATTTTTGGGCTGCTAATCCATTGTTTTCCTTAATTAACTGCAGACATTTTGGGAAAAGATGGTGATGTTGCTAGAATTGCTTTTGGACTTGCCATAATGATGCTCTGGATCACTCCTTTGGAGAGAGAACCATCAGAATGGCATGCCTTTTGGGCCCCAATGACAGGGCTTCCTGGGGACCAAGGACCCTGGGGGTGGAAATCCTGTTCCTGGAGAGCTTCTAGCTAATCTGGGGCTAGCAGATTTTTGCAGGCTACCGTCAGCATTAAGAGGCAGGGCGGCTCTCAAAAGTCCCCCTTTTCCAGATTCTTACTGATGACGTTTCTTGTGTGGTGACTGCCCTGCCCACCATTTCAATTGTTTATTTACAGACCTCAATGGATGATGAGGAGGGAATGCTTGTCATGGGTTTCCCACTGCAGACTTAATTGAAACAGAAAAGGAAAGCAGCAGGGTTTACACCCCACACCTTCTCATCTGATTAAAAGTCCTACCCATCTCCAAATATGCCTCAGTAGTGTGCATTCAGTTGACCCCATGGGATTTCAATGAAGACAATAAAGAAGCATGTGACAAGAGATTGCAAAATATGTGTCTTCTGGAACACCATGCCCAAAGTTAACACAAAAGAGGAGTATCATGGCAGCAAGCAAGCAGAGGCCATCCTATATAATTTGTTACTGTTGGTCAAAATGGGATCCAACTGCAGGATGCATGCAGTTCTTCCTGTGGCTCTATAACTTCATTCCTTAAAAGGTCAGCTGGTCTGTAGCCACAGACTGAAACAAGTATATTCTGTTTTCTGGCAGTGTTTTCTTACTGCACTGCTCCTCAAAGTTTCCATCATTCCCCATGCCCTTCTTTCATTCAGCCCAGCAGAAACAAGGATGGCTACTTGGAGACCAGTTGTATCTTTGTTTTAACCTGGCTTCTACCTCCCAGGAGGACTTAAGTTTAGTTACTTGGTGCAGACACCATGCGAGCCATACTCATATCAGACCAGCAACTGAGTAATCTATAAGCATGCTGATTCAGTCCAGAGATGCCACAAACCATGAACTGGTCTTATAGGTCAATTGTGATTTTCTGCCTGCTAGATAACACTGACAGTTAGAGAGCCTGAGCCAGGCAGCTACCACACAATGATGTGTTGCAGAAGCCAGATGAAAGGGATTATGGGAAAAAAACCAAACCAGGGTTTGTTCCCAGCTGCCAGACATGGGCAGGAACATAGGGAACTGTCACACAGGTTCCAGAGCATTGCACGCCATTCATGTTCTCGTAAGAATACCTTCCTCTTCTCCCACAAACCAACAGTCCTGCCATTTGACCAACTTCTCCCATCCATCATTAGGCTGCTCTGCAATACTACTGTGTCCTGAATCTTTCACTTACAGGCATAAGAATAAGATGTTCACCATCAATGCAAACAACAGACTACTCTGTCAGTGTCTCTCTTGCTCATTTTCCCATTTAGGTTTTTATATAGTAATTCCCCTGTGAATGATATGAAGCCACTCTGAGCCTTGAGAACCTGGCTGCAGACTGCTTTGTCTCTTGGTTGACCAGTATAATCTGCATTAGCTGGTTGGTTGGAAACAATAAGAACACTGGATCAGAGAGTGGTAAAGGACAAGACATGCTGTCATCTTGAGAGAGGGCATCTCCTAGGGGTCCTGTTCTTGGTATTGAAGTGTTCTCCCATCTGTGCTTCCTGGCTTTCAAGAAGCTTGACATAATATGTTCCTGTACCTTACCGAGAAGATGATGTTTGTTTTCCTGCTAGCATCCTCCACCAGGACCTTCAGTGCTGAATCTGAAATGGGAGAGATGCTTAAAGCTTCTCATTGGCTTGCCAACTCATGAATTACTTTTGAGCTGCACATCCCAGTTTAGAGATGCAGGCTGCCTTTGATACCATCTTCGTCACCTGCTATTCAAATTACCCTTCAGGAAAGGTACAGATCAAAAGCAAAATCAGTGCTGCTATTCACTTATTTTGTGATAATATGATCATGCAACCTCATGAGTAGGTAAGTGCTGTCAATTTAGTGCCCCTTCTGGGTCCATAAATGTGTCCGCAGAATGTCTATGCATTTATCTCCTCAAAATATTGATGTTAGATTTATTTCAACAAATCACCCTTTGTTTAGGAATGCAGTACCTGGGGATCAGTCCCTGGTGTTGTAACCTACAGGGCATTTGGGAAAAGAACCAGAGTTCTGAAAAATGAGTGAGTTGGAGAGAGCACTGTGGTCATCTGTAGCTCTTGTTCACACAGCAGTAAAACAAAACAAAACATAAATAACATTACTCAGAGATGGTAACAACTGCCGATGCTGGAGTCAGAGATAACACAGTGTGGAGCTGGAGGAACACAGCAGGCCAGACAGCACCAGAGGAGCAGGAAAGCTGATGTTTTGGGTCATTACCATGTGATTCATAACTGCCTTTTCCCAGTTATATGTTGTGGCATGATATGGAAAGGTAGCTCAGCATTTATTTACAATTATTTTATTATTTTTAAACAAAAGTACGTGATATCCTTTTTCCAATGGTTCCAAATCATATTAATCTGAATGTTTTCTGTTAATGTGTGCCCTAAGGACTGTAAATTTATTTTTCTACAGCATTTTCTCATCAGTTATCAAGTAAAATAATTTACTGTTCAAATCGCCAAAATGATTTGCTAATTCTAGATTCCTTAGTTTTACAATATAATTGAATGATGGCATTTCTCACATGTCAATTGTAAGTAGAATGGTACACAGAGATTTAATAACCTTTCTGTTGTGTCTTCTCGATGGATTCACGTACAAATATGTCAAAGCTACTATCTGATGAAATACTTGTAATGCAGTTTAGATAGGAAGTTATCTATTGTGAAGATGTCAATTTGGGAAAAACAACTGATGCATTAATTGAATTATCGATGAAGCCAGTTGCAAATTTATTGGAAATTGATTGCCCACAAAAATACTGGAGGCTAAAAATTCTGTTTAATCTAATGGCAGATATTGGTTGAGAGCAGACTTGCCTTTATGTCACTGATCTTTCCACTGCAACATGTACTAAGTCATTTGTTGTACTGACTTGTCATACCACATGACAAAACGATCACAGCTGTCTTCAGAACACTGTCATTGACAGACAATGGCAGACCACAGATAATGGTAACCAACTACCAAAATAGACCAATGTATAAACAAGAGATTTGCTAGGGCATACAAGTGCTACATGGAATTTTGGGATTCTTGTCGCTGTATAAGTGGCTTGAGATATGCTTTTACAATTCGCACCTTCTTATCACTGCGTAAATGTCTTTGAGATATACTTTTACAGTTCGCGATCAAAGTTCTGAGATTGTTAAAACTCCAATACAGCTGTTGGTTTGTCTATAGTAATGTAATAAAGCTCACATCAGGGCATGAATTGAAGTATTCAGAAGCTTTATGGATCAATTCCTGATCCGATTGAGAGATAGGGATTTCAGGTTGCAAGGTGAAAACGGGTAAGATTCAGGTCCTAAAGTTGGATATGGATAATGAACAAGCTGGATCAATGGTAAACATTTTTCATTAAATGTCTTATTTGGTTAATTCCAAGCCTTTTTTTTAAAAAACAGCATTTTTGTTTTAACAATTAAACTAAATTAATAGGATTAGACTCCAGGAAAATAACCTAAATGAAAGTTGGATGTTG